CGGCAAACTTGGGCTATCAACTTTATAAAAAGTTACATCGGCATTTCGCATGTTGGCGTATGGAACATTAACAGATAGTACTAGTGAATATGTTAGGATCGGTGAGTCATCTGCAATTGTATGTTTAAAGAGATTTTGCAGAGCAGTTGTAGAAGTATATGGAGATGAATATTTGAGGACCCCCAATGTCGACGATGTTGCAAGGTTATTGCAAAAGGACGAAGAAAGAGGTTTTCCAGGAATGTTAGGAAGTCTAGACTGTATGCATTGGCAATGGAAAATTTGTCCAACAGCATGGGCAGGACAATACTCAGGCCGTCATGGAGGTCCAACCATTATTCTTGAGGCAGTAGCATCATATGATCTATGGATATGACATGCATACTTTGGCTTACCAGGATCCAATAACAATATTAATGTATTACAGTCGTCTAATTTGTTCGACAATCTATCACAATGTACTGCTCCTCCTGCTCATTACACAATTCAAGGAAAAAATTATGATGTCGGTTATTATTTGGCCGATGGCATATATCCGAAATGGCCAACACTTGTTCAAACTATTTCTAATTCCAATGATAAAAAGAAATAATATTTTGCAATGATGCAAGAAGCATGTCGAAAAGATGTTGAGCGGGCATTCAGTGTTCTCCTATCATGATTTGCTATCATCAAGGGGCCAGCCCGTTTTTGGGATAAACGAACTCTGCATGATATCATGACGCTATCATCAAGGGGCCAGCCCGTTTTTGGGATAAACGAACTCTGCATGATATCATGACTGCTTGTATTATAATGCACAATATGAGCATGATATCATGACTGCTTGTATTATAATGCACAATATGATTGTCGAAGATGAACGCGACGAGCAAGAAAATGTTGTCATTTCAACTCCACAATTAATTCCGAATGCTGAAAATATGGAGATAACAGAAACTGAACGATTCCAACGGTTCCTTGCTCGACATAAGAGGTTGAAAAACAAAGAAGCTCATTTTACACTTCGAAATGCATTGATTGAACATTTGTGGGAAAGACATGGAAATGAAGCGATGTAACTTTTTTTTAATAATGAAATAATGACTTTTTCATTTTTAATTACTTGGTTATTGAAATTTTATATTTCAATTAATATTATTCAATATTAGTCTCATTTTGAAGGTATCGACAAAACATTTCCAACTGTAAAACTTTTATTTAAAAATAATTAGTAGAAATAAACTTATATTGATTTTAAATTAAATATCTAAAAAAATTAGTTAGTTAGAAGGGTAAAATGGAAATTTTATGAGGGGGAATAGTGAAATGGAGGGGCTGCATATTTGGAGGATAAAACTCCAAATATGCAGCCCATCTTCTGATTTTGCAGCCGGACTCCAAAAATTGGATTCCGGTTGGAGCTCAATCGGGTTGTGTCACGCCCCGCTTCCCAAAATACACGGGAACCGGAATGTAAACAAGTCCGCGACGTATTAGATTGAGAAGAAATATACACTATCTTTTTTTTTCTTTTTTTTTCTTCTTAATCCAATACGCTAAGCGTCTGAAAATAAATACAATGCGAAGTCACAGGTCCCCGATCACAATCAGCAAGAATATAATGAACAACACAGAATAAAATAATACATATCACAATGAATAACATCCGAGACATAATATTCGGGTCAAACGTGCCCTTATACAAAAACTATCTGAAAGAAATACTGGAGAATATAATAATACACTGATCAAATGGAAATAAAAGGTAGTACAAAAGAAAACTGAGGACCAATAACTAAGCTTCGGCTTCTTCTGCTCGGTCTGCAGAGCACTCCTGCGGGGAATCCTATGGCTCCTGGCGATCTCCCAACTGAACCTGTTCTTCATCTAAGTCTGACGTACACCAGAAAAAATAGGTGTACGTCAGCGTGTATGGCACACGGCAAGACCCGACCCCATAAAGAAAATAGAACGAACGAAAATCCAATGCGAAAAACGATACGATAACAGAAACAACAAAAGAACGTACAACTGAAATCCACAAATCAACATGAAAACACTACTAAAACATGATAAACATAAAGCATCCAAAATCGATCAGGTAACGAGATCATGCCGCTAGCGATCAGAATAATCATCCAAGTCACAAGGGCATACACTAGATAAAATTAATACTTAAAAATCTACAACTCGAGACGTAGTACGTCGAGCAAAATAATCCAAACAAGGAAACCCTCATGTATATACCATATGTCTCGAATTGTAAATAATTAAATATTAATCCCGATCTATGTATGAAAAGAAACACAACTAACCTATATCTCACAAGAACTCATACTTAGTCAAGAAACGAGGTCATGTAAATAGCCATCCTATAACAGGTCTCTGGTTCACATCTCACACAGAGTCAAAGTTCACATTATCGGATATCTGATTAACAACCACATCTCACTAGTACCTCAGACCCGCCCCAGTGCAAAACGATTCACTGGTGCGTGCCTGGAAATAATCAATAATCACAATATCATCGCTCCTCAGACCCACCCCAGTGCGAAACGATTCACTGGTACGAGCCTGAAAATAATCAATAATCACAATATCATCGCTCCTCAGACCCACCCCAGTGCGAAACGATTCACTGGTGCGAGCCTGGAAATAAACAATAACATATCCGATAACATGAACCATGACTTTCTCATCCCAAGTCCAAGTTAACAACTCATATCTCACGGGTCACTATGGTCAAGCAATACTCGCGATTCTCAACTATAACAATGTATAAATGCAATGAATACTATGTAACAGTGTCATGAATCATTAACAGGAAACGTGAACAACTACTAATAACAGTACAAGATGAAACTACATCTATCAAATAAATATACATGAAATATCGAAATGCTCATAAATTTATTAATTCCAAAATAAATCCTTTTAATTTATTTCTCATAAATTATTCAAAAATAACCTTTTAAATATATTATTATTATATATTATTCCATATGAACAGTAACTGTTTTATTTTTTTTCTTTTTAATTATTCTAATTTTCTTTTTCGATAACAACTCTTAAAATTTATCTAGCTTTCAAAATGCAAGCTTGTCATTTTATATTCATCATTTCACAAGTAATCTACCACAATAATACTTAACAACATTCATCATCATCCCACGCATAATATCATAATCTAAACAACATATATAATAAATAACATATATAGAAATTGTAAGGGTAATGAGGTGATGCGGGATCTTGCTGACGACATGTGAAAATACCGCACTAGTGTTGTCTAAAACTCATTACTGCACTTATGTATAGACTCTAAACAACATATAATCATGTTACTAATTAATGTTGTAAGAGTTAATCACCATATAAATACTAACAGTTAGTATATAATACAGTGAGTAGCAAGTCACAGTGGGACTTGCCTTGGTTTCGAGAGCGTCGGACGGTGAGAGCGAGGGGCGGGGGCTGTTTGCGTGGCCGAGGGGAGGACGAGGGTTGGTGGATCTCGGATCGAGAGAGAGAGAGAGAGAGAGAGAGAGAGAGAGAGAGAGAGCTGATGGGAGAGGATGAGAGAGAAAAAGAAGAGAGAGGGTGAGCACGAGATCAGTGAGGGGTGAGGTTTAAATAGGAAAAAAAATGAATAAAAAATAAAATAAAATAAAATAAAATAATGAATGTGATGCGCGTGAGTAGCAGTCATTTTTGAAAAAAGAGGAGGGAGAGAATGTGATGAGGGGGTGGTTGTTGGGGGTTTGCGGGGAGCAACAACTTGGGTTATTTTCAAATGGGTTCAGGTATTTAAACGAAAATAATTAAAATAAATAATTTCGGGTACTTAAAAATTAAACTAATTACATAATAATTATCTACAATTAAAAACATACATGTTATGCTATTATAACAGTTGAAACGAAATAGTCAAAATATACGCATATTGTATAATTAAACGAGAATAAATAATAATAAAAATATATTTACTTACATTTAAAATCAAATAATTATGTGACAATTATATACATAATAAAACGTACTAGTTATACTAATACGACAGATAATATGTAATAGTTGAAATAATACAACAATTTATATCCAAGATATGTAATTAATAATACAAAGTATTATACGAAATAATACGTAATAATTTAATAATACAACATATTATTTAAAATATTACGTAATAGTACCGATAACACAACAAATTAATTCTAGAAATTTTTACCGCACAAAATAAATTTATAGATATCAAAATCATTTAAATAAATATATAATCAGATTTTAAATCATAAAAAATTGTAGAAAATCGAGAAAAATACAAATACTCTTTTAAAAATAATAATTAAATATTTTAAAATATCAGAAAATTATTTTAACTAGTATTAAAAATTTATGGTCCTTACAGGCTGCATTTTAGAGAAATGCAGCCCGGTTGGAGCTGCTCTCACACAAGACAACGAGCTTGCTTCAGGCTACAAAGTCATACATTAAAATTTCCGTCTAGGAAGTTACTACGGAAAAGCAACGAGTTTTGTTTGTACTGCAGCAAATTTAATTCATTCAAATCATCTCAGTTTCCTTCCAAGATCATACTTTCAGACATACAAAACTTTTTACACTTACTAAATCCTATCCACAGTGATCTAAATTTATTTATTTCTATACTTTATTTAAATAGCTATAATTGAAAATTAAGATTCTCCTGTTCTCAGTTCTGTTATAACACCGGAATCCATCTCTCCAGTGAGAGATTCTCGCCAATAACAATTTCCCAATAACCCAGAAATCAGTGACATGATCAGTTCCACACAAAATATCACAAACTCAAGTACAAAGCCTACTCCTACCCACTATAACAAAACAATTTACCTTACAAATAAGCAAATCCAAACAACCATTAATCTCATCTAAACCATCTCCTGAGATCCGTTGTCGACGCAGGTGATATCTCCCCCGACGACACTCGACAATCCTCCTCCAGCCGCGCCGCACCACGCTCTTGAAGCTCGGGCTCCTCAAATGATTCGACTGTGGTACCGTCCGCGTCGCTCTGTGCAAGGGAACGACAGCCGCATATCCTTGACAGAACCGGCACTGTCTATCTCCGGTGTGCCCGGCCTCTGCCTCGGCGCACTGTTTGACCGTGCACGTGCACGGGCAGACTCGGTCGCGGCCATGTAGTTGGGGATTGTTTCTTGCTGGTGTCTTGTGACTCCGTCGCCAGTGTAGTTGTAGAATGCGGCGACGGATGGAGTGTTGCACCGGGGGCTTGATGACCGGACTTGGACAGGACGGGGTTTTGAAGGGGAAGGAGTCACGGGGGAGTAATAATGGGAGTGTCGTCGGTTTGTCGTCGTGGGGGTTGAGTATGAGTAAGGCCAGCCGGCCGTCTCGGTTTCCAGGGTTTTGATTGGGTCTTGATTGTCCGTTGATGCTCTTGATCTGCTGCTGCTTCTGCGAATGTCGAATGAGGATCTTGACGACATCCGTCGAGGTGCAGTTTGCTCTACTGCAACTGCTTCAAGTTCTTGGTCTTCCTCTAGTGGGTGAAAATGATTTCTACTTGATCTCATTGTCTGCGTTTCAGAAAACAGAGGAACGGACTAAGGAGATCAGAACACAGTCCACTGCCACAACTCGTGCACATCATTGTACTTTCTCCCTAGTTCATCTCCTCACTTTTTTGGCACTAGCTCATAGGGCAAGAGTTTTTAAATTTGGGACAGGTGCATCTTCTGTTACAAAGGAGAGAAAATATTTCCAGATATATATTCTCATGTGACACATGTTAGTTTTATAACTTATTAACTCTTAATTTTTGTTGATTTACTGTTAATTTCCCCCCCCACATAGCTGACGTACCTAGAGCCGTACAGATTTGGACGATTTACGAGCCAACGTACAAATCCAAAATATGATCTATTCTTTTTTTTTTAATTATAAAATTTGTTTTATTCTTGGTACACTAATTATCTAGTAGACAGAATCACTCAATAGATTTGAACAGCTGAGACTGTAGAGGATCAGGGGCGGATGTATATATGTGGCTTTGCTCCGCAAACTAAATTAATTACCCGACCCCACTTACAACTCACATCCACAAAGAAAACCATCCAATACAACTGTTGGTAACCCCACTAGAAAAGTTTGGGTGAACGGTTAATCGTTCAAACCAAGTGAGATTAAGAAATTGGCTTTACAGTGAAACCTAAAGCTGTTGGGAGCAATATATAAGAGCCCTTTAGACTCTGAAAGCTTATTGGCTTAACTCATATAGAAGCTATTCTTGAGACAAATTTGCGTTGCTACAGTTTACATGATATTTCTACCTATGATATTAATTGGTAACTTGCTTAATTTATGCTTATTATCTTTGAACCACTATCCACATTGGCTCAATAATTGCTTAAAGGGGATTAGTCAAGTAGAACTTAAAATTAAAACTAGAATAATTTGTGGGATAATTTTTTATAGTGTTAGTCCATCGGAACTAGAATTAGGATAAAATTATATAGTGTTCGTCAACAAGAACTTGATAAAAAGTAGAACTGGGATAATTGTAAAAAATTATCCTACGTTTGTCAAATTTATATAAAAAAGAGAGACTTCTAGTCTCTCGAATTGTCTCAAGTTTTAAGCTAGAACTACATTGTAAAAAAACTAGAACTTACTTATTTACTTTTTTTATTTTTCATATTTCATCTCTTCATAATTTTCAAACCACACCATAAAATTAGATCATATCTCTTCTTATCTTTCCCTTCTATTTAATGTTATTCTTCACTTTTTATTAAAAATTTAAATTGTGTAATTAATTTAAATTTAAAAGTTACAAAATTCATGTTTTATTAAAAATTAATTAAAATTGAGAGATGATGGAATGATGTCTGACAGATCGAAAAAGAAAAGAGAAAAAAAAAGAAAAATACTATGTTTTTTAATTTATATTACAATAACAAGTTTTAAAAATAAAAAAGCTACAAATTATTATTATTATTATTATATATTATAGTACGTCTAACAGTTCTTCAAGATTAATTAACACTAAAGTAAATAGGGAAAATTGCTTCCAGGCCCCAAAATCTAACTTTTAATATGCTCCAGCCCCCCATAATTTTTAAAATGTGCTACAGCCCCTTGTTTTTGAAAAAATTATGTCCAAGCCCCTCCATCATAATTCCAGCTCATAACAGTAGATGATTAGATATATCAGCTCATGATTAGACATGCCAGCTAGCTTAAATCCCAATTTTACCCTCCTCTTTCTCATGCCAGCGGATGTTAACTCTTAGGGTTAACATGTTAACTCTTACGGTTAACATGTTAACTCTTACAGATAACATGTTAACTATTAAAAGTTAACATGTTAACCGTAAGAGTTAACATGTTAACCGTAAGAGTTAACATGTTAACCCTAA